GAGCCAAATAAAAAACTGTAGATTCACTGTACAAATACATATGGTGGTGAGTGTATATATTGCCAAAGAAAAAGGCATGGGATTGTGTGACCCCTGAGACTGATTGTGGGGCACTGATAGAATGCAGCAGAACTTTGAACAGAAATACGCCTGATAGTGAGGGAACCACCCAGGAGGTCTAAGAAATCTATTCACGTTTAGTCATCAATCAATCAATCAAATTTATTTCAGCAGATGTCACAAAGTGCAATACAGAAACCCAGCCTAAAACCCCAAACTGCAAGCAATGCAGATGTAGAAGCACGGTGGCTTGGAAAAACTCCCTAGAAAGGCAGGAACCTAGGAAGAAACCTAGAGAGGAACCAGGCTCTGAGGGGTGGCCAGTCCTCTTCTGGCTGTGCCTGGTGGAGAATATAAGAGCACATGGCCATTTAAGGCCAGATTGTTCTTCAAGATGATCAAACGTTCATAGATGACCAGCAGGGTCAAATAATTATCACAGTGGTTGTAAAGGGTGCAACAGGTCAGTACCTCACGAGTAAATGTCAGTTGGCTTTTCATAGCTGAGCATTCAGAGGTCGAGACAGCAGGTGCGGTAGAGGGAGAGAGAGAGTCGAAAACAGCAGGTCCGGGACAAGGTAGCACGTCTGGTGAACAGTTCAGGGTTCCCTAGCCGCAGGCTGAACAGTTGAAATTGGAGCAGCAGCCCGACCAGGTGGACTGGGGACAGCCAGGAGTCATCAGGCCAGGTATGTCCTGATCCTAGGACTCAGGTCCTCCGGGAGGGGAGGGAGAGAGAGAGAATTAGAGGGAGCATACTTAAATTCACACAGGACACCAGATAAGACAGGGAAATTACACCAGATATAACAGACTGACCCTAGCCCCCCGGCACATAGACTATTGCAGCATAGATACTGGAGACTGAGACGGGTGGGTCGGGGGACACTGTGGCCCCGTCCAACAATACCCCTGGACAGGGCCAACCAGGCAGGATATAACCTCACCCACTTTGCCAAAGCACAGCCCCCACACCACTAGAGGGATATCAACAGACCACCAATTTACTACCCTGAGACAAGGCTGAGTATAGCTCAATAAGATCTCCTCCACCGCACGAGCCCGAGGGCTCAAAACCGGACAGGAAGATCACGTCTGTGACTCAACCCACTCAAGTGACGCAGCCCTCCTAGGGACAGCATGGAAGAGCACTAGTAAGCCAGTGACTCAGCCCCCGTAATAGGGTCAGAGGCAGAGAATCCCAGTGGAGAGAGGGGAGCCAGCCAGGCAGAGACAGCAAGGGCGGTTCGTCGCTCCAGTGCCTTGCCGTTCACATTCACAACCCTGGGCCAGACTACACTTAATCATAGAACCTACTGAAGAGATGAGTCTTCAGTAAAGACTTAAAGGTTGAGACTGAGTCTGCGTCTCTCACATGGATAGGCAGACCATTCCATAAAAATTGAGCTTTATAGGAGAAGTCTTGTGAACGTAGATGATGTGTAGGTATGTATGGCAGGACCAAATCGGAGAGATAAGTAGGAGCAAGCCCATATAATGCTTTGTAGGTTAGCAGTAAAACCTTGAAATCAGCCCTAGCCTTAACAGGAAGCCAGGCTACAGGCTAGCACTGGAGTAATATGATCAAATGTTTTGGTTCTAGTCAAGATTCTAGCAGCCGTGTTTAGCACTAACTGAAGTTTATTTAGTGATTTATCCGGGTAGCCGGAGAGTAGAGCATTGCAGTAGACTAATGTAGAAGTGACAAAAGCATGGATTAGCTTTTCTGCATCATTTTTGGAAAAAATGTTTCTGATTTTTTCTACGTTACGAAGATGGAAAAAAGCTGTCTTTGAAATATTCTTGATACGTTCGTCAAAAGAGAGATCAGGGTCTAGAGTAAAGCCGAGGTCCTTCACAGTTTTAGTTGAGACGACTGTACAGCAATCAAGATTAATTGTCAGATCCATCGGCAGATCTCTTTGTTTCTTGGGACCTAGGACTAGCATCTCTGTTTTGTCCGAGTTTAAAAGTAAAACATTTGCCGCCATCCACTTCCTTATGTCTGAAACACAGGCTTCCAGGGTAGGCAATTTTGGGGCTTCACCATGTTTCATCGAAATGTACAACTGTGTGTCATCCGCATAGCAATGAAAGTTGACATTGTGTTTCCGAATGACATCACCAAGAGGTAGAATATATAGTGAAAACAATAGTGGTCCTAAAACAGAACCTTGAGGAACGCCAAAACGTACAATTGATTTGTCAGAGGACAAACCATCCACAGAGATGAACTGATATCTTTCCAACAGATAAGATCTAAACCAGGCAAGAACTTGTCCGTGTAAACCAATTAGGGTTTCTAATCTCTCCAGAAGAATGTGGTGATTGATGGTGTCAAAAGCAGCTCTAAGAGCACGAGGACAGATGCAGAGTCTTGGTCTGACACCATTAAAAGTTCATTTACCACCTTCATGAGTGCAGTCTCAGTGCTATGATGGGGTCTAAAACCAGACTGAAGCATTTCGTATACATTATTTGTCTTCAGGAAGGCAGTGAGTTGCTGTTCAACAGCTTTTTCTAACATTTTTGAGAGGAATGGGAGATTCGATATAGGCCGATTCGTTTTTTACATTTTCCTGGTCAAGGTTTGGCTTTTTCAAGAGAGTCTTTATTACTGCTCCTGTCAGTGAGTTTGGCACACATCCGGTCGATAGGGAGCCATTTATTATGTTCAACATAGGAGGGCCAAGCACAGGAAGTAGCTCTTGCAGTAGTTTAGTTGGAATAGGGTCCAGTATGCAGCTTGACAGTTGAGGCCATGACTATTTTCATGAATGTGTCAAGAGATATAGGACTAAAAAAAATGTGTGTCTCCGTTGATCCTAGGTCCTGGCAGTTCTGTGCAGACTCAGGACAACTGAGCTTTGGAGAAATACGCAGATTCAAAGTGCCGTCCGTAATTTGCTTTCTAATGAGCATGATCTTTTCATCAAAGAAGTTCATGAATTTATCACTGCTGAAGTGAAAGCTATCCTGTCTTGTTGAATGCTGCTTTTTAGTTAGCTTTGTGACAGTATCAAAAAGAAATGTTGGGTTGTTCTTATTCTCTCAATTAGGTTGGGAAAATATTCACGTTTAGTCATGGCATTTGGCAATTAAATTCCTACAGAAATAGTGGAATCAAGGGCAAAAATTTTAACATACTTCTTCGGTTATTAGTCCCCCAGAATTTTGCCTTGAGTTTCAGAGTAACAGGGAATAATTAATATTTCAGTAACAAGTGGAAGATGAGGACACAGAGGGCTGTTAAAAACATGGAGGTGGCTGGTTGATGCTCCAGTTGTGGTAATGGCCCCTCCTCTCATGACTGTATTTGGCTGGTGTACTTGGTATGTGTTTACCCTGACTCTGGGACACAACTGATACTCGTGGGAAGCATAATCTGTCACTGAATGCTTTGCCTTTCCACCCTGCGCACCTCTGCTAAGGCCTTAGGGGAATTTACATGTCTAAACCCTTCAGCCTAAAGCTAGAGCTGGGTTATTGGAGATGATCTTATTGGAGAGTGTTACAATTTGAAATGGGTCACAATGCACAGGTTTGACAGGACTTTGGGGAGAGGAGAAATAAACTTTGTTAGATGGACTGTGATATCCATACTAGTAATTGGGTTTTCATATTTCCATTTCACAAGATACAGATTTCATTGCACCAGTAGTAACATTTGGATATCATATTTTTATTCCGATACAGATTTAATTCCAGCGTACTACGTTACATGACAATATATTGTACACACCATTGGCTTAGAGCATGATTTAGTCATGGACATTGAAGCTCTGAATGTTTCTCAGGTGGTGCAGTGCAACAACCTACTTTCACAAAGTGCAGTGTCATGTTTACTGCATTTGTGTAAAAAATAAAAGTGCTGTGAGTTGTATGCAAGTGCTACTGAAAAACACACTCCATCTAACCTATATGCAAATTATGAAAAACCATTTGCATGTTGTGTTTATAAATATTTTCCTTATTTTGGTGGGATAATAGTTCTCTTTGAGGAGATCTTGAATCTGGCTCAGTTGAACCTTAGGAAATTGGTCTCAATGGCCAATGTCTAAATTGTATTTCACAGGCTGACAGTTTATGGGCAAAATATGTAGCCTGTTACCAAAACAAACCGCAAAGCAAACTCCCTCCAAGTGGAGATTGACAAAGCAGGGAGTTTAGGAGAAAGGAGGCTGAGAACAGGGGACAATAAAAGGCTGTTACTTTAATCTGGCCTGCCACAGAGATTAGCAGACCACATTGTTTTAATTGTTTTAACGGGAGGGAATGAAACGCTCGCTTATTGAGAGGGGATCCTTTGCGTAGTTCAATAGTTTAAATTTTTTTGGACCCCCTCTTTTCCCTCATCCCACCTAATCCAGGCTAATACCTTTATTTCTATTGGCTAATGGTTGAGGGGAGCTGGAGTAAATGGTTATTTAAATAGTCGTGGGTGAGAATGGTCTTCAGATAATTAGATCCATGCCATGACAAAGGGTAGTGCCTGCATTTCGAAGTATTGGACTGTACAAATGAACTTCTAAAAGCTCACGAGAATAGGTTACATTTCTGCTATTTCTGTGCTTTTCAGGTAAAAGAAAAAATACTGCAGATGTTATACTTTTTTTGTCTGATCTATGTTTCGAAAATTGTTTTCTGAATGTTGGTAGCCTACTGAAGTAAAGTGCCAATGGTTTATTCTTAGAGAATAATAACTTTCAATTACTTTTAATTATCAAGAAAGTTGCTTATATTTACCATTTATTCAGTATTTGTTTTTACAGTGAGTTTAGAGTGTAGCCTAAATCACAATTGCACTGTGCAAGCATCCTACATAGGCTAAATTGTACAGTAAGCTATAGGCTATATACTTTTTTCCATTGTATGCCTAGTTATTATGGTGTAAGGCCTACATAACTAAATCAGTTTTACCTTATGAATTTAGGTCCGCTATGAATGCCTTAAATTTCTGCGGGGGATCCGACAGTGGCAACGGAGTCTATCCTCTGCATAGCGTCAACTCCGTCCTTTTCGACCTCCATCACCAGATGGCAGACCAGTACCCAGTTTATCCATCGGCCAATCCCTCAACGGTTCACACGTTCTCTGTTGCTGAAAGACTTGCAGGTATTTAGAATGGACTACTGTCATTTATGACTGTGTCTGTAATCGATACATGCAATCAAACGAATGCAGGTGGCAAAAATGTTCTAATTATAATTTGGCGTTAAAAGACCTGCTTTCACATCTGAAAAAGTTGTTGAAACTGATAATTGTCATGCTGGTATTTTCATGTGTAGCCTGATATCTCACATGCCATCCGACTGTTTCACCACCTCTAATCTTGTTGTGGCTTGTCTTCTGTCCCCACAGAGTTGATACTGGAGGCCCGTTATGGGAACCAGCAGAAGCAGCGTCGGAGCCGCACAGCCTTCACTGTGTCTCAGTTACAGGCTCTAGAGAAAGCCTTCCAGCAGACCCAGTACCCTGATGTAGGTATGAGAGAGAGACTGGCTGTCTGCATCAATCTGCCTGAGGCACGCATTCAGGTCAGTAAAGGTCGCTCTTCAAAGAGGACCAGCCTGTGTGCATGCTTTCATTCATAATATTTATTTGAACTGCTGCTTTTAGTAACTTTATTCTTGTGATATATATAACAGCTGTGGTGCTATTACCTTTTTAAACTTTTGATCAATATTATCGTTATAAACACTTCAACCCTTCACCAATAATAAAATAATATGCTGCTCCAGGTGTGGTTTAAGAACAGAAGAGCAAAGTTCCGTAAGGGACAGCGATGCTCCCCCATTCCCAGAGAGCAAAGCCTGGAGGAAGCACATCAAACCAAGGCAGGAGGGGAAAAGAGGAGTTCCAAGGACTCCAAAACACAAAGCGAAATAGCTCCTCTCTGGGAAGTCAGTGATGCTCCCACCATTTCTTGTCCTGGAGACTCCATTGTATCTCAGACCCACTCAATATTACATTCTCCTCCCGTTTTTCCCTTTGTGGGTGGAGAGCGGTACCACCTTCCACATCATCAGGCTTTAGGGATGCTGTCAGCTGGCCTACATTTCACCCCCACATTCTGGCCCATTCTACAGCAACACAGCCCGGCTTTAGGAGTTGCCCCACCAGTTGGTAAAAACTGCAGCCTTTCCCTTCAGACTTCCTGTCTCAGTAAAGCTGTACCCCACTCCAACCTGGGTCTATAACTGCACTCCCAACAACAACTTCTCTTCAGTGTGTGTTGGCAAAAAGGGACTCAAAGGAGAAAATAGTACATTGGTACACTGGTATCAACATGGACACAGATTTTATACTACTGATTTTATACTTTGACTCTATACAACTTTGTGAGTACGGCAGGTAGCTTAGTGGGTAAGAGCGTTGTGCCAGTAACCCCGAGCCGACTAGGTGAAAAATCTGTTGATGTGCCCTTAAGCAAGGCACTTAACCCTAATTGCTCCTGTAAGTCGCTCTGGATAAGATCGTCTGCTAAATGACGTAAATGTAATGTACAAGGAGCCTTTGCTAATTGTCCTGGTAGAGTGAATATGTCTGTAGATAGGTTTGATTAAGAACACTCAAAGGGGCTAGTATGTTGTGTTCTTGTGAGCATTTGGGATTGCTACCTGGAGTGTATTGGTACATGCTGCACTTGCATAAAGATGTTACTTTCAGTTTTTACTCACTTATCACAAGCACTTAGGAGAATAGAGAATTGTGATGTGGTTTGGGACACATTTTTCTTTTCACTTTTCAAATTGAATATCCATTTGTTCAAGACAATTTTCTGTAATGTCTCACTGTAGGAATCTTTAGGCCTATCCTACGTTCATTTTATGGTTATACACAACAAAACCGTAATTCAACTGTATGTGAATAAATAATAAAAATAAATGAATACAATTATTTTGAATGTCTTTTAGTTTCCATTTGTTTATTTTGCAAATGAGAAATTCCCGGTAACAGAATGATGCTTAGACTCAGATATATATATTTTTCACCTTAAAAACGTTTGGTAACAAAATTACAGTTTGTGCTGTTTGTCCCATCATTCTGTTAATAAACTATACATCTGCACTGTTCTTCAAGTACATTTGTTTTTGTAAAATTGTTAAAAGCTATCCTTGTGCATAGAGTTGTATGGTTTGTTTAACTTTGCAATCATTGGTTTTTGTTTGGCATACATTTGAACCCTTTACACCCGTGGGAATTGGCCTATATGGACAGGGCTAAATTAAAATGTTTCATACAAACGAAATATGGAAAGAATATGCATAACCATGTTGCAATTAAAAGGGAACCATTTGGAGATTATGGGGAAATTATTAGACTAAAGGTGAGGACACAACAGTTCACCTGACAAGACTGAATCCAAACATTACACTGTTGATTTTGTGATTTTTACATTTACTGTACTTTTCGGGGCATTTGTTGATAACGAAATCTGAAAATACTCTGGATACATTCAGTATATGATAAGAATATTCTTGGAAAATGTGGGGTATGTGCAACATAATACCAAAAAATTACAAGGTTTGAGAGAAAGGTCAAACTGGTGTCTCCAAGTGGCCACACATCTCTCGAAAGTGTGCACAGTGCCTAAGTAATTTCAGTGCACTTTTATGACTCAAAGAAGAGTCTTCAACTATAAGGTGCCTGTTTGAGCTTGTCGTGGAAATTCTAATCAAAAGGAAGAGAGACTGCAGATTCTTCAAAACAAAAATGTTTTCATTATAAGATGTGCAAATCTGGAGCAGTTAACAATCCACTCAACAGTGCAGCATTAAGAGCCCAACGAACAAGAGTTGGGTCTCAGTTTTTATAACCTTTGTCTACGTGACAGTTTATCAGGTGTGTGATATCATGATGGTGTCATGACTGTCCTGTTCTGGTTGCAAATGGGCAGATCAGGTTTACAATGGATAAACTTCTACCAGACCCCTCTCAACCGCAGAGGGGAGGAGGGATTGGTGTGGGGGTTAATGACACTTCACATCCTGTTGTAAATGTTATGCAGAAGAATATTATTTCCTGACCCCCAGTATTGGCTAAATGAATGCTTTTGTCTCCAGATACTTTTTCCCACCTAAAACTTCAACGTCCAAAAAGGGAATACCGGAACAATATTCCTAACAGAAGGATGTGGGGATCGAAAGAATGATCATGTCATATGGGCTGTTATTTTGTGATGTCATTAAAACTAGTATCAAGAAAATACTGTAACTTCAAAAGTATACCCACTATATGTCAAGTTTAATCTTTTATGTTGTATATGAAATCTGAAGAATGATCAGAGTAATTTTGTTAAGATAGGAATGTGATTTTAGTTTTCTAATGAGATCATCGTTTTGAGAATGCTTTGCACAAGTAATTAGCCACGCCCGAGAGAGCCGAGAGAGTGTGTCTGCATGACGGAACGCCCCCCTTTTAACCAGAGTGTATACAAAGATGAGTGAAGAATTAACATATCAGACCAGACGGACTCAAGCTGCAGCTTAGGTCTCCATTGGTTACGACCCTGAAAATCAACACGAAGTGAAGACGACAAAGTCGCCTCTCTAACAATCAATGTTACAGCTGAGTAGCTGTTCTAAGTACTGTATCTAAGAAGGTGAATTTAAGTAGGACCATCCTGTTACTCTCTTCAAACCATTGTCTACTACACTGCTCTCATCACCCCACTGGGGATCATCGACACGGCTGATCAGCTGTCTTCAGAGGACCACTCTTCCAGAACGAGTGAAAGGAAACACCACCCTGTTGGTTTTTGCCCAGACTACATGACCAGTCATTTAAGCTATGGACAACTAAGAAGAAGGACATTGTGACCTCTGGTGGACAATCAGAGCCTTACACTCCAAGTTCAAGAGAAGGCCCAACCTTTCCCAAGAAGGCTTGGGTCCAACAGAGATAAAACGACAAAGGAAGACATTCAGACATGTAAATACATTCATGACTTCTTCTCCAAATGGGCGACGGTTAAGGTGCAAAGTATTATCATTACCGTGAGCATAGTTTCCAAATGTATAAGTGTTAAGTTTCTAATCAATAACCTCTACCGTGTGTGTGTGTGTGTATCCTGTGTTATCATTTAGTTAGTTAGTAAATAAATAATTAAATCAATTTGTGTGGTATGGAATGATCAGTAAAGCTGGGGTTTGTGCAAATGCAAGGAGTATGCGACATTCAGAATGATATGATACGAAGTAATGATTAATAAGTGGCTGTTATTGACGCAATAGATATCTACAGTTGAAGTCGGAAGTTTACATACACCTTAGCCAAATACACTGAAACTCAGTTTTTCACAATTTCTGACATTTAATCCTAGTAAAAATTCCCTGTCTTAGGTCAGTTAGGATCACCACTTTATTTTAAGAATGTGAAATGTCAGAATAATAGTAGAGAGAATGATTTATTTAAGCATTTATTTCTTTCATCACATTCCCAGTGGGTCAGAAGTTTACATACACTCAATTAGTATTTGGTAGCATTGCCTTTAAATTGTTTAACTTGCGTCAAATGTTTCGGGTAGCCTTCCACAAGCTTCCCACAATAAGTTGGGTGAATTTTGGCCCATTCCTCCTGACAGAGCTGGTGTAACTGAGTCAGGTTTGTAGGCCTCCTTGCTCGCACACGCTTTTTCAGTTCTGCCCACACATTTTCTATAGGATTGAGGTCAGGACTTTGTGATGGCCACTCCAATACCTTGACTTTGTTGTCCTTAAGCCATTTTGCCACAACTTTGGAAGTATGCTTGGGGTCATTGTCCATTTGGAAGACCCATTTGTGACCAAGCTTTAACTTCCTGACTGATGTCTTGAGATGTTGCTTCAATATATCCACATAATTTTCCTTCCTCATGATGCCATCTATTTTGTGAAGTTTTTTTATTCATTTATTTCACCTTTATTTAACCAGGTAAGCCAGTTGAGAACAAGTTCTCATTTACAACTGCGACCTGGCCAAGATAAAGCAAAGCAGTGCGATCAAAACAACAGAGTTAACATATGGAATAAACAAAACGTACAGTCAATAACACAATAGAAAATCTATATACATTGTGTGCAAATGTAGTAAGTTATGGAGGTAAGGCAATAAATAGGCCATAGTGCAAAATAATTACAATTTAGTATTAACACTGGAGTGATAGATGTGCAGAAGATGATGTGCAAATAGAGATACTGGGGTGCAAATGAGCAAAATAAATAACAATGTAAATAACAATATGGGGATGAGGTAGTTGGGTGGGCTAATTACAGATGGGCTGTGTACAGGTGCAGTGATCGGTAAGCTGCTCTGACAGCTGATGCTTAAAAATAGTGAGGGAGATAAGTGTCTCCAGCTTCAGAGATTTTTGCAGTTCGTTCCAGTCATTTGCAGCAGAGAACTGGAAGGAATGGCGGCCAAAGGAGGTGTTGGCTTTGGGGATGACCAGTGAGATATACCTGCTGGAACGCACACTACGGGTGGGTGTTGCAATGGTGACCAATGATCTAAGATAAGGCGGGGATTTGCCTAGAAGTGATTGTTAGATGACCTGGAGCCAGTGGGTTTGGCGACGAATATGTAGTGAGGGCCAGCCAACGAGAGCGTACAGGTCACAATGGTGGGTAGTATATGGGGCTTTGGTGACAAAACAGATGGCACTGTGATAGACTACATCCAATTTGCTGAGTAGAGTGTTGGAAGCTATTTTGTAAATGACATTGCTGAAGTCAAGGATCGGTAGGATAGTCAGTTTTACGAGGGCATGTTTAGCAGCATAAATGAAGGAGGCTTTGTTGCGAAATAGGAAGTCGATTCTAGATGTAACTTGGGATTGGAGATGCTTAATGTGAGTTTGGAAGGAGAGTTTACGGTCTAACCAGACACCTAGGTATTTGTAGTTGTCCACATATTCTAAGTCAGACCCGCCGAGAGTAGTGATTCTAATCGGGCGGGTGGGTGCAAGCAGCGTTCGATTGAAGAGCATGCATTTAGTTTTACTAGCGTTTAAGAGCAGTTGGAGGCCACGGAAGGAGTGTTGTATGGCATTGAAGCTCGTTTGGAGGTTTGTTAACACAGTGTCCAATGAAGGGCCAGATGTATACAAAATGGTGTCGTCTGCGTAGGGGTGGATCTGAACAGTGCTAATAGTACCTCAAAAGTAATATTAATCAAAAAATAACTATTGACCGTGCCAAAAGAGTTGAAAAGGAAAGTT